ATCTTTTATAATTCCTAAAACTGGTATTAGACTTGCTCCTTCTTTTTTTATGCCTCCCCATTTGACCGAAACATTACTAGATTTTTCCTCCGTTTTTTCACTAGCCAAAGCCGCGGTGGTTGGTGAAACTACTGTAGTTTCTTGGATATTAAATTTTTCTTTAAGATTGTCAACTAATTCGCTGACTTGTCCTAAATTTAGTTGTTTTATTTTTTCAATAATTTCGTTTACTTCTTGACTACCTTGCTTTCATTCTACCATATATTATATTATTTTAATCTGTTTTGATTTTAATGACTTGTCTAACGTTAGTTTTGCTCTATCAAAATACCAACTGCGAGCAAAAAAAACTGTTTTTGTCCAAGAATTAGAACGACCACAAAAAAATAATTATTAATATAAACACAAAATGTCAATTAAGCAAGCCAGAAATCGCAAATATAAAACTTTAATAAAGAATCAAGAGAAAAGAATGATTAACTATTTAAAAGAAAACAAAAAAAATACTGAAGAATTAAAAAAAATAGTTTCCGAGACCCAGAAAATGTTAGACCAAGCCACTAGCAAAAAAATAATTCACAAAAACAAAGCGGCTCGGAAAAAAAGTCAGTTATTCAAAATTATTAAAGTAGCAATTAGTAAGTAAATATAATTATCGCTTTGGTTAGTTTTTGATTTAGTTTTTGATTTTAATTTATAATAATAAAAAATAATATAATTATGATAAAAAAAGAAAAAAAACTGCTTTATTTATTATTTATTTTTCATATATACTGCTTAATTTCGGGCTGATTTAACGGGGGGAGCAAAATGGCTTATCCAATTTCTTATTTTTGACATTTTTTAGCCTGATGGTGCACTTGAAATAGCCTTTTAACCTTGGGCTTTATTCTTTGAAAGTTGCTAAGGCGACCAAAAATTAATGCTCATTTTTATCAAGCTTTTTCTCTGATAATAATGGTTAGCAATATAATAACTCTGGTGATTTATGGTCTGGGCTTGCTGCTCTGACTAATTACTATTTTGACTACTTACGGGGAAATTACTAGCCAAACGATTAAATTAGTTCCGATACCTAGTCATATAATAGACTCAGATTCGCAATTATTTAAGGTAATTCATTGGTGGCTTTACTCTCCTCTTTGGCACTTTATCGCCCCGGCTTACTTTATTTATTGGTTTTTTCGTTATGAGCGAATGGACTTGTTGAAAAAAAAATTAAAATTAACTATTTCGCTTTGTCTAATTCAGCCTACTCTTTATTTTATTTATTGCTTTCTGCGAAGTAAAATAGGTGATAAAGAATACTTTAAGCAATTTAAAGCCCGGTGAACTTTACCTTTTCTTAGTTCCAAAAATATGGCTAATAAATTAGATATTAGTCGCTTGACCTGAAAAATTGTTTTAACTCTTTTCTGTTTTAGTTTATTTAGTTTAATAGTTTATTTCTCTTTGCACTATGGCAGAAAAATAAAAATCTACTTATCAGACCAAAAGGGAAAATTAGTAAAAAAAGTCAAGACAATTTCTAGTCTGAGACCTAACAAGAGAGAGAGAGAGAGCAGAATAGAA